CACGGGTGAGAGGGATTCACCGAGCATGGCTGCATGGTGAGCCGATGAGATGAAGAAGGGAATGTGGCATGCTGACTATCCTGGTGTGGTGCATGGACATCAAGGCATAATGCAGAAGGCCAGAAACTAAAGCAAGGGTTTGTGCTACCACTGGGATGGGTCAGCCCCGTCCCATGTGTGGCAGCTCCGCAACGTGCCTGGGGTCAGCTGAGGCCAAGCCCTCGCTTTCTCAGATGGGAAGCAGAGGCGAGGATGCAAGGAATGAAGAGATTTTCCTGAACAAGCAAGGGGGTAGATTTCTCAACAATTTGACGTTTCACATCCCTTTGAGATGATAGAAAACTCAAACTGAGATGGCTTCTGGAGGTGGGGTGCAAGGAACCAGTCTGCAAATCATATACTTGGAAAAGGCTTCCCTTTTTGAAAGCCACATCTTCCAACTTTTCTTCTTTTCAGGCTGCTTGTCCTTTATCACGTGAAGCCCATTCCACCCAGGCAGAAGGTGGCTCAGCACTTCTGGAGCCGATCTGGCCTATCAAGGAAGCTGCCCTCCTGGATCCTGTTGCTGATGCATCAGTCTGGCAGCTTGCCTTCAGCGCTAAAAAAATCAAATGTTGCTTCTGAGCAAGAAGGTAAGCATGTTATAAGGCAAATGAGCTCTGCTGACGGATAGGATGGATTAAATACTTCCTGACCTTTGGTGGGAATCTAAAGCATGAACATGGCTCAGGCTTCTCTTGTCTTTCTGCTGTGTAATATGACTGGTCATAAAAATAACCAGCTATTTTTACCCTCTCAAAAAAAAAGTAGAAAAATAATATCTTGGCGTTTCAAACCTTGCGTTTCACATCAATGGCAAAACATCTATGTCAATTCAAGGCAGAGGAGAGAACTTCACACACGGGTAAATTAAGTAGCTGGTGTCAACAGCCTTGTGCTGTGCACGTATGGTCTGGAGGAAGAGCTTCAAGCAGGACGATGGGGCTGTAGCATCAGAACGAGTAAAATCAATCAGCCTACCACCCACTAGGGCACTTGAATGGCCTCAGGTCTGTCCCCATGCAGTCTTGCTTATGTCGATTCCCAGAGTATTTGTTGTCCCGGTCTCTAGGCTTGTTCAGCCATCTTTTGGTGGCTCTTCTTCTTCGGCAGCTCATGGCTGGATGAGAAGACACTGCAATGCCTGTATAACGAGCAATCCCATGCCACTTCCAAACCCCACACGATGTGTGGAGCAGAAGCCTGGTTTGGGAGAAGCGCAAGGCAAGGGCAGGCCTGCCACATCAGGGCACCTGCGAAGTAAAACCATGTCCAGCTGCCAAAATTTGGATCGAGTTCCCAGCACTTAGCCCATTCTGGTTTTGTAGAAACTCAACTCAGTTGTGCCTGGGGCACTGGGGTGATCTTGTCCTGTGCTGGAAAGGCTGTATCGAATCCTACAGCGGCCTTATCTCACAGCAGCCTGGCTGCTAACAGTCCTCAGTGCGCAGCCCCCGGGCTGGGGTCAGCTTGCTGCTGCTTTGTTAAATAAGGGGGGCTGTAAACTCAGATCAGCCTTTCAACTGGTAGGGCAGGACTAATGGGATAAAGCCATATGGAAGTGTCTTCTGGAAAGGATGATGCAGAAGGTTGCCTGGGATGGGGAGGAGGTGGCGATGGTGCAGGGGAGCAGAGCAGTCTGGGATCCTTACCTCTCCTTCGTGGCTGATAAGCTGTAATTTTGCCATACACAGTGGCCCCTCCTGAATTAATATACCTCAGGATGACATGGAACAGATAGAGCTCTGCCTCCTTCACGTCTACAGTGACTCTGATTTTATTCTGCAAAAAGCAAAAAAGCACACGGGGCACACATCACTGGGGGGCCAGCTCCTGGCTGCTCACCCGCTCTGCGGGAGAGCCTTACCCGCCTGCCTACCTGCCTGCCTGCCTGCCTCTCTTCCCCCTCCCTCGCCATCCCGTGGCACGGCACTGGCCGGCCACCTGAGATGGGCACACTTGGGATGGGCACACCTGGGACGGGCACACCTGGGGCAGGAGAAGGGGCAGAGGAGGAGCAGTGTCACAGCGTGGGATGCTCTGAGTTAGTCTAGAAGTGAAAAATGCACTTACAGTTGCCACAAACATTAAACTTTCCTTCCTCAACGACCGAGACCCTCCCTTCCACACTGGCGGGCCCCCGGCTGACGTAGCGGAAGACGAGGCGGAAGAGGTCGGGGGAGGTCACATTGAGGGTCACCACTACCTTGGGCTGGTGGGAGAGAGAAAGGGGAGAGAAGCAGAGCACACCTTCAATTACCTCCACCGCCGACAGCTACCAGCCCAAGCACAGCCGCTCGGCTCACTGCTCCCAAAGCAACATGCCACAGAGCGAGGAGGAGACAAGCCCCGGCCCTACCGCAGAGTCACAGCACGGGCACCCCACTGAGGACACTGTCCTTTTTGGGGCAGCCACTGAGAGAGCAACCTGCCTGTGGGAAGGGGGTGGAAAGGCTCTGACCACATCTAGAAGTGGTTTGGCTATCCTGGGGCACACACCACATACCAGAGGAAAGGTTTTAAGAAGCTCTCGTTTTTGTTAGTGGTAATGTCGCTTTTGGGCTTAGTGTGCTGTAAACCAGCCAGCAGGTATCAAACGCTGAAGCGTTTTCCCTTGTGTTTACAGGGCTCTGCCCAGATGCCCACAGAGGAGGCTGCAAATTGAGCTGGTGCCTTGTCCTTGGGAACCTGCAACGCTGAGGACTAGTGCTGCTAACAGAGTGTGCCACTGATGGCTGCGTCAGCCCTCCGCCTGTCTGGATGCTGTTTGGCAAGACCCCAGCTAAGGAGATGCTTAAGTCCAACCTATTTCAAAGAGATCTCAGCGTATGCTTAAATACCCCCCCCCGGTTACAGGGTAAAGCTGGGCTCTGCCCAGAGAGACTCCTAATGAGGGCTCTGTGTTCTTCAAAGCAACAGCTACACATCATCCTCCCACTGGAGAGCAAACTGGAAGGATCTTGCAGGGAGCAAACTATGGGTGAGACCTGCCAGTAGGAAGCCATGTGCTAGCCCTTCTGTCAAGGCCTATTTCTCTCTCAGACAGCAACACTGGATGCAAAACGAAAGCCACGAGCTCCATCCTTAAGCTTTAAGGCTGGGGTGTTCTCAAGGGAGCCTACAGGATTTTGTTGCTTAACTCCTACCTACAAATTCAACAAGGAAACAGCTAATGTATTCGGCCCGTTATTTTACCTAAGCATGAAAAAGTGAAGAAAACTGAAAGTACATGCACCAGAACAAGGAGCACCCTACATGGGACAAGACTCAGAGAATCGCTGCCCTGCACTGCATCCCCAAACACACACACGGGTGACACTTCCGTGGGGGCCATGCAAAAGAAGAATCCACCAAGGAAAAAAAAAAAGGGTCAACAGATAATAAGCTTCACTTTTGAGGGCTCAGACAACTCCAGATTAGTGTAAACTATCGTTACAGCAGACCAGCTAAGAGCAAGAGCAGAGGCAGAACAGTAACAAGAGGTTCAAGCTGAACATGGCAGCTAAGGAGGAGCTAATTTATTTTTGGAGAAGGAAGGGAAGGTTATGCAGAGAGTTGCAGGAAAGAGCAGAGTCAGATGAAAGAGCCACAAGGAAACTCAGAGACGTAGTGTTTATAGACATCCCTATAAGTAATCACCAAGCTACCACCTTTGTCTAAACAGATTAGGATGTCACGGGATTCCCAATTTAGGATCTTTCCCCTCATCAGTCTATGCCGTCCCCAGCACTACAGGAAATATCTGCGCAAACGGGCTATATATACACTGTGCTGTTTATGTTGGCCATCATGTGATCTGGGGGTTTGAGAAGCACTTGGGGTGAAAGATGTGTGCCAAAAGCACGTCAGTCCTCCACCGGCCGCATCCTCCCCAGGGGGAGCTGGGCTGGGCTGGAGGCACCAGGCGTACCTGGATGGAGGACATCTGTGCGTATCCTCGCCAGCTGAAGCCCTCAAACTCCAGGGGGTTGTAGCCGAAGCGCACAGCCCGGCCAGCCGGTGTAGTGCCTTCCTCCAGCTCGAATTTCAAGTGGTGAAGGTCAGGGAAATAATGGTCCTGTGCGGGTCTGGGGAAAAGAGGGAGCACCGTTACCTGCTGGGCTACCTGGAGGGAGAGGCAAGAGGCCACCTCTGCCAGGCACGTGGCTGATGTGGCAGCAGCCCAGACGATGAGGTCCCCATCCCCGTGGTGCAGAGGACACTGTCCCCGAGGGAGGGAATGGGAGGCAGGAGCACCCCAAGGTGCATCTCCTGGAGCTTACTGGGTGCAGGTGGGGCCACGTGTGCTCTGCCGGCAGCGACAGGCTCCGCTCCGTTCCTCGCAGGATGGCCCCAGGGACCCGCCGACATCGCACCGGCAGCCTGCGGGCAGGAAGCGCCTGTTTACATTCCCGCCGCACTAACGAGCTCCTGGTCACTAATCAAAGGCGCGTCCCAGCAGGCGGGGAGGCTGGGGCCACTATTTTTATTCCATTGTATCCGTTTTCATATTGGCCCTGGCCCCACTTGGACCGGCTCCTCTTCCACCTCAGCACCGAGCTATTTCCAGACGGCTGATGGCTGCAGGAGGAACAAGGTCTGCAAACCCTCATGGCCGGGCGCCACAGCCCTGCTGCCAGCAGCAGCCTTGCTCCTCTTCCCAGCCCTGCCAGGACCGGGTGGGCCAGCTGAGAGCAGCCGGACCTGCTCCTTTACCTCCTCCCATGGGCATGAGGGAGAGCAGCTAACCCTACACAGAATCATAGAACGGGTTGGGTTGGAAGGGACCTCAAAGATCGTCTAGTTCCAACCCCCCTGCTATGGCAGGGACATCTCCCACTAGATCAGGTTGCTCAAGACTCCATCCAATCTGGCTCTGAACACTTCCAGGGATGGAGCACCCACAACCTCCTTGGGCAACCTGTTCCAGTGCCTCACCACTCTCACAGTAAAAAACTTCTTATATTTAATATATACACATATATTTAACATACACACATGTCCATGCCAACCTGCTGCCAACAAAAGGAAGAGGTACAGCTCTAAGGACACGGCCAGTGGTTAAACACACCAGTTTCTGGTACCCAAGGGGGTACCTTTCCTGGCCTTTCACTCCCCAGCCTGACAGACCTGTGTCCAGTGGTGGCAAAAGCACGAACTCAGATCTCGAGATCCACAGCAAGACTCAGCCCCTGCTCTGGGCCATGGTATGGATCAAAAGCAAGAGGTGGGACATCTGCTCCCTCTCTCCTAGGCCAACAGTCAGCTGGTGTACGCAGAGCCGCTTGCTCCAGGGCCAGCACTTGTGGCCCCCCTTGATCACCAGACACATCACGAAGGACGCTCACCTTGGCAGCCAAAGTAATTTGCGTTCTCCATATTGAAGTAACCGTCTTTGCACGCCGAGCAGAACTGCCCGCAGATGTTTGGTTTGCAGAAACACTGCCCGTCACCCTAGGAGAGAGCAGGCATGGAATCTCATTCCCTCCCGTTGCTCGTCACGGCTAAGTCGTTTCTCAGTTACTTGGGTCCTAGCCTGAGACACTGGAGAAGCATTTTGTGTTTCATGCTCTACACAGCTTCCTGTGCGTGGGTGGGCCAGATAAGGGCCAGATAAGTTAAATTACCCAACAATGCAGGCAAACAAAAATCCAGGCATCCTGGGCCAGACCCAGAAATATTTAGGTGCCTAATTTATGACAGGTCTTAATCCTGTGTTCTCATGCAAACCCAGACTGTGGTGCGACCTTTGAGAGCTCAGCATCAGGACAGGGCTCTCCAGCAGCTGCTGAGAGAGACAGAACTGAAACGCTCACAACACAGGACACGCTCCGAGGTGCCTGTAAGCAGAGAGAAGCAAACCCACCTGCCGGCACTCCGCGATTCTGCTGATGGTGCCCTTGGTATCACACTTGCAGCCTGGAAAGGGGGAGATGAACAAGAAAACCAAAAGATCAATCGGTCCCTGAGAAGAAGACTAATGGGGGACAGTATCCAGCACACCAGAGGACACCAGCTGGGGTAAGAGGAGCTGAGAACTGGTCAAGTAGAGGGTAGTGCTGCACAAGGGCTCACGTTTCATTTTGGACAGTTACTATTAAGAATACAACTACCAAAGACTTTTATTTGCCTTTTCTGCACATTTGGCCACAAAAAATTAAGTGTGCAAAGTCTGCAGGAAGGGCTGGAGAATGGCACAACTCATTGTATGAGCCCTGTGTTTCATCCCAGGCAAAAAGCTCCAGGGTCCAGCCTCTCCCTCTCCAAGTGGCAGTAACCCAGAGCACTCCAGCTTTGACATGTCACTTCATGGTGAAGATGGAAGGATAGGCATCGCTTCCATCCAGCAACGATGGTCCCCACTGGCTTGGGTTTGGGTCTCACACCGTTACAGCATGAAGGGAAGTCTCTGGAGCTATGCAAATGCCATTTCCTTACTCAGGCAGCCGTAGGGGTTCTCTGGGGTCAGATTCCAGTATAAGGGCTTGCATCTGTCACAAGCTGGGCCTTCAACGTACGCCCGACATGCACAGGAGCCCTGGGGAGAGGGAGGGAGGGAGAGAAAAGAGCAGGTGAGAATTTGTAGCACGGTGGGTGAACGGGTCTGCTACTCTGGCATGGGTTTCAGGTTGTGCTTAAGTAATAACTTATCCCCTTTTCCTCACTTTGGGACCATGCAAAAATGACCTCCAGGGTTGGTGGGTTCACTCGATACTCACCGGGACCAGTGAGGGATCTTCAGTCACCAGCCCTGCTGGGTTACAGGAGCCCACTAGAGAAGAGAGGCACAAGGAGGGATTTACAAAGACATGGCTCACACCCCGGCTGTTCCTAAAGGGGATTATTTCTTCCCTTGCAGAGCTCTTGGAGGTTGATAAGCCCATTTACCAGCACCACACCACTATGCCCTAAGACTCTGGAGTCCCCCGGCACCCGGTAGAAGGGCAATACCTTCGCAGTGTGGAAATCCATAGGCGCCCAGAACGCAGCTATCACAGCGCAGTCCCGTCACTTTGGGCCGGCAGCTGCACTGCCCCGTGTCCTGGTCGCAGGTGCTGTGCAGAGAGCCCTCCTGGGAACACTGGCAAGCTGCAGAAGAGGGGAGAGCAACTGCTGGAGCTGCAGGGCACAGGGACTCCTGCATTCAAGGCGTCCCACCAGCAACTTCTTTTGTCTGCCTGACCTTCACCACCATCAAAGCAGCCAGGAATATGGTTTATAAATAACATACACGGTCATTCTTTGCTTTTGGTTAAAAACACCCCATCTTTCAACAAAAGCAATAGAAGCTGCAATGTTTATCACATCTATTCACATACATTTACGTGTATTTCTGGAGGCAGGGAGAAATTTTGGTTGAGGTAAAGGGGAATATGTGACCTCATCCCCAAAAAGACACAACCAGTGACAGTTCAGACCCTACAAAAGCCCATTTGCAAACACCCAAGAGCAGAATTTGGCCATCAGGGTCTGCCCTGTGGATGTTGTATGTGAGCAGCAGACCTGCAGCACTGGGCCAGCAACCCAGTCTTGGCACTGCTGGCAGCTGAGGGCAAGAGCAGAGGAATGGCTCTGTGGCTTCCTGAAAGACTTGCCTCCAGCGAACACATGTTGACATCCTGCTGCCCTATCACACCAAAGGTCAGCAAGCTGCCAGGGAGCTGCCCATGCTCTCCTTGCCCAGCCAGCACTCCTTAAATCCCTGCCAAAGGGGATGTTTTAGGCTGACAGCCCCATACTGGCTAACAGCAAAACAACAGATTGAAAAAAAAACCAAACAACAAATCAGGTTCTCCTTTCCTTTACGTGACTCTACAGCTCTGCAATTTGGACACTGCTTTATGAGACAAAAAAAAAAAAAAAAAAAAAAAAAAAAAGATTACTGAACTCCTGTGAGACTATTCCATCTATGCCTCCAGCCTCTTCAAAGGCATATTGCCGGCATCAGCATTTGTGAGCAGCGCTCTGCCAGCTGGCCGCGGCTCAGGCGTCTACATTCAGTATGGTGCAAGAGGGTGATGATGCTCTTTTGTTGCTTCAGGGAAATTGTATCACAGATTATTTTTTAATGAGCAGTAAATTCTTGCTGGGAGACATAAGAGTACATCTGGCTTCCAGTCGGACAGCTAACAGGGAGGGAGATGGGGACACTGCCCAGAGCTGGGGAGGGTTATTCAGAGTATCTGAGCTCAGAGGCACCTGCCTTGGGCATTGCTCAGCCCTGGCACCCACTGCTCTACTCCAGGAGTGATGCTGTGCCCAGGGAAGTGGAAAGAATTGTAGAATTGTTTAGGTAGGAAAAGATCTTTAAGATCAACCATAAACCTAGCGCTGTCAAGCCCACCACTAAGCCATGTCCCTAAGCACCACATCTACATGTCTTTTAAATACCACCAGCGATGGTGACTCAACCACTTCCCTGGGCAGCCTGTTCCAGCAGAGAAATTTTTCCTAATATTCAATCTAAACCTCCCCTGGTACAGCTTGAGGCCATTTTCTCTTGTCTACTGCTTATTAATTAGACGAAGAGACTGACACCCACCTCACTACACCCTCCTTTCAGGCAGTTGTAGAGAGCAATAAGGTCTCCCCTGGGCATCCTCTTCTCCAGGCTAAACACCCCCAGTTCCCTCAGGAGGACGATCCCTTCCCTAGTCCTGCCGGACTATCGGCTATTTCCGATACAAGTCACGATGCTATCGCCCTTCTTGGCCACCTGGGCACACTGCTGGCTCGTATTCAGCTGGCTGTTGACCAACACCCCCAGGTCCTTTTCTGCTGGGCAGCTCTCCAGCCACTCTCCCCCAAGCCTGTAGCGTTCCACGGGGTTGTTCTGACCCAAGTGCAGGATCCAGCACTGAACCTCAGCTGGCCTTGGCCCACCGGTCCAGCCTCTCCAGATCCCTCTGTAGACCCTCCCTATGCTCAAGCAGATCAACCCTTCCACCCAACTCAGTGCTGCCTGCAAATGTACTGACACCCCCGTCCAGATCACTGATAAAGGTGTTAAACAGAACTGACCCCAGCACCGAGCCCTGGGGAACACCACTTGTGACCAGCCACCAACTGGATTTTACTCCCTTCACCACAACTCTCTGGGCTCAGCCATCCAGCCAGTTTTTTACTCAGCAAGGAGTACGCCAGACCAAGCCATGAGCAGCCAATTTCTCCAGGAGAATGCCGTGGGAAACAGTGTCAGAGGCTTTATTAAAGGCTAGGTAGACAACATCCACAGCTTTTCCCTCACCCATTAACTGGGTCACCTTGTCATAGGAGATCAGGTTAGCCCAGCATAAACCCATGCTGACTGGGCCCGATCACCTGGTTCCCTGTACCCGCTGTGTGATGGCACCCAAGACAATCTGCTCCGTAACCTTCCCCAGCGCTGAGGTCAACAGGCCTGCAGTTCCCCGGAAACTCCTTCCAGCCCTTCTTGTAGATGGGTGTCACATTTGCTAACTTCCAGTCAGCTGGAACCCCCCAGTTAGCCAGGACTGTTGATAAACAATTGAAAGTGGATTGGTGAGCACTTCCACCAGCTCCCTCAGCACGCTTGCGTGGATCCCATTTGGCCCCATAGACTTGCGTGTGTCTAAGTGACATAGCAGGTCACCGACCATCTGCCTTTGGGTGATGGGGGCTTCATTCTGCTCTCCATCCCTGTCTTCCAGTTCAGGGTCTGGGTACCCACAGAACAACCAGTCTTACTGTTAAAGACCGAGGCAAAGAAGGCATTAAGTACCTCAGCCTTTTCCTCAACCTTTGTCACTATGTTTCACCCTGTACACATTAAAGGATGGAGATTCTTCTTACCCCTCCTTCTGTTGCTCATGTATTTACAGAAACACTCTTTATTGTCTTTTATGGCAGTAGCCTGGTTTGGGCTTTGGCCCTTCTAATTTTCTCCCAGCATAACCTCAAAACATCCTTGTAGTCCTCCTGAGTGTCCCCTTCTTCCAAAGGTCATAAACTCTCCTTTTTTTCCTGAGTTTCAGCCAAAGCTTTCTGCTCAGCCAGGCTGGTTGTCTTCCCCGCTGGCTCATCCTTTGGCACGGGGGGATGGCCTGCTCCTGCACCTTTAGGATTTCCTTCTGGAAGAGTGTCCAGCCTTCCTGGACTCCTGTGCCCTCGGGACTGCCGACCGAGGGCCTCTGTCAGCCAGGCTCCTACACAGGCCAAAGTCTGCCCTCCAGAAGTCCAAGGTAGCTGCTGACCCCCCTCCTTACTTCTCCAAGAATAGAAAAATCATCACATCACGATGCAAAGTTCTCACCATGGCAGCAGACACCTTGAATTTGGGGCCGACGTGAAACCCCAAATCCTGACCCTCACTGTTCACCCTGTTGTGCAACCATATACTGTTGGTTCCAGCACTGTTGCTCCTCCTGTGCACTGGCATGAACCAAGGTGGAGTGAGCTCTGAAGAGCCTGGCTGTGTCACTGAGCCACACCTGAGCATCTCACAGCACCGGGGTATAATCTGAACAAGTGGTTTGAGACTTTGCTAGCCCCACTCAGAGCCCTGCTCCCTCTGGTGCAGGCACTCCAGCCTGAGGACAGGCAGATGCGATTCAGCACAGGTTTTCTGTGCATCTGCACGTAAAGTCCAACCCACAGCTGCTCCCCAGGCCACGCTCTGTAGGTCTGCTTCTTAATAGGTTGCCGGATTAGAGGCCGGGTTTTATTTCCAAACTGAGCAGGCGGACCCAAGCTCCTGCTGTTAGTGATAGTGAATGAACTGGGGGAGACAAACCACACAGCCTTTGGGGAAGCATTTCTTTGAGATGTTTACTCATTATAGAGCATGCCTGTCAGATGAACTGTGCACAGGAAAACTGATTCCTGATGCAAGAGCCAACTATTTTCATATACAACCCCGGGAGACAAGTTATGGAAAGGAAAACCATTACAAAGCCAGAAGCAGCAGCTATTCCCTTCCCTTCCCTGAGATCTGACGGTGGGTACTCACGTGTGCAGCTGGGGTACCCGTAGAAGCCCAGGGCACACTGGTTGCAGGTATGTCCTGCAAAATTCACGTGGCATCGGCACTGGCCAGCTGGGCTGCAGTTGTTGTCCACCGCACCCCGGGCATCGCAGGAGCAAGCTGTAACAGCAAGACTCTCAATAGTCTGATGAAACATGCGATCCGTGGCCAACCACTGCTGGTCTGAATTGTCATTCAGCCCGAGAGGATTTAGTCATTTCCATCAGAACTAAATTAATTTTTTAATCCCCTGGAAAGACAGGCAATATTTTCAGCTAGAGTCATGGCCATACTGGGAAAATGCCACTGAGGGTTTTTTACAGTCCATTCAACATTCCTCAGCAGTTTAGTAGATTAATGCACTAAAAAGACAAAAAAAGGCATAAACTTGAGACACCGGGTCACAGCAGAGTTGTGATGAGGGAGTGTGACTGATAAAAACTGCTTTGTCTTCCAGGCTTTGGCATGATCCATGGCCTCAGAACAAGCCTGCCACATTCACAGTGCAAACAGCACAGGTTTTGATTTTGAGAAACACCAGTCTTGCAGAAACTAGCCACGGTTTTTCAGAAGGTGAGAGACCAGCAGGAACCGAACGTGGATGTCCTTACCGTAGCAGTGGGGGTAGGAGTGGTGCCCAGGACTGCACTGCTCACACCGTGGCCCAGCAAACTCGAGTCTGCAGAAACACCTCCCGACAGCATCGCAGCCTTCCGGCAGCGTCCCGACCGCGCTGCAGCCACACACTGCAACAGAGAGAAACCGCTTGCCCTGTGCTGGGAGCATGGGGAAAAGCATGTGGCAACATGGTTTTTTTCCTGAGGTTCTTGGGCATTTAGGTGCTGCTCTAAGCGTTCAAACTGGTGATCTCTGCCCACTGCATATATCCTCCAAAATGACCTCAAAATCACTTCCCAGTCTTCCTTCAAAGCCCTGCCAGAAGACTCTGGCTTTGTCTTACCCACCCAGGCCCATGGGAGGACAGATACGCACGCTGGCACAGAGGGTAGTTGAAGTAGCCGGGAGCACACTGGTTACACAAGTGCCCTTCAAATCCCGTTCGACACAGACACTGCCCTGTCTCGCTGTCACAGGTGCCATCGTACTGACCGGGGCCAGAGCACTGGCAGGCTGGAAAGCAATAAGGGCACTAGTAAATGAACGGTTTCTTCATCTCTCTCCTTCCTATGAAAGGGATAAGAGTGCCTGTTCCTCTGGGGTAGAAATGCAGTCGCTGGAGAAACCACAAGGACACAGCTGAGAGCAAACATGCCTGGCCCATAGCTCACATCCACAGGGAATTTCTCAAGAGCCCCCCATAGGCTGGGAGGATTCTGGAGGGTCAGGGCTGGGTGGAAAATACCAGCAAAAGTCATGGGAATTTGTCACTTGGAAGTGGGGCTGGAGAATTCCTCCTCCCCAGTGCAAGTGTAGGACGGGGAGAGGCACGCTCCTCCCCAGTGTGGAGGCGAGCAGGGCGAGCTTGGGGCCGCCAACCCCGAGTCACTCACGCTGGCAGGTGGGTCCGTAGTGGCCTGGGGCGCACTGGTCACAGTGTGTTCCCTGGAAGTTGGGTTTGCACACACACATCCCCACCCGAGGGTCCTTGCGACAGGCGTTGCCTTCCGTCCCACCGGCGTAGCAATCGCAGTCTGGAGCGGGGGGACACAACAAGCGACACCACACGCGGCTGTCAGTTGATCTCTGCTGCTGGGCAGAGCTCCCATGGACAGGGAAGGAGCTGCCATGAGAGGCAAGAGCTCAAGCGTTTGTCTTCTAATAACTTTCCTACCAGATGCAAATGTTTTAACCAAACGCTGCTCAAGTGACCAACATGCCTGGCTCGTGGGGTCACAGGGTGGTTGGGAGACCAGCATCACTCACAAGGGCAAGGTGCTGGACGGGCAGCAGGGCAAAGCACAGGGCACAGATGCTCTTTGCATAAGCCCAGACAGGGCTGACGTGGTGCAGCACTGCCCAAGAGCTGTGCGGGAATAACCAAAGCCATCAGGGTGGGGTTTGGGCTTTTTCTCTGCCCACTCCATGCTCAGCTGCATCTGAGACCTTCCCGCTGCCAGGGCAGGAGGGTGCTCTGGGCTGGCAGTGCTGAGGCCCGCAACCAGCCCTGCCTTCACCGACAGCACTGGTGTGGGGTGCTGGGCTGGGACAGGGAAAGGCAAGTCATCCAAGAACCAGAGGGAGGGGGAGGTGGGAAATAGGGGAAGTGAGAAATTCCAGATCAGGAAAGAAAAACCTGTCTGGAAGATACCGAGTTTAAAAAATCAGAAGGAAGGAAAAGGTTATCTGGAGTGTAGTGGTGAGCATGAGACAGGGGAGGATCTGGTGGGAAAAGAGACCAAAAAAAAGCACAAGGGAGGGGATGAACTGAGAGGAGTGAGCATGAGGGAGGAGGGAGGTGGAGGGGAGCAGGGATGAGGGCATGGGTGAGCTTTTGGAACAACAGAGAAAGTAACACAGAGCAAGTGGCAGCCTGTGCACACTTCCCCAGCGCCCGCAGCAGCGCTACGGGCAGCTTTGTGCAGGGGGGCCACCGACACGGACCCACCCCCAAACACAGGGCACGCAGGTGCAGCAGGACAGGGTTGTATCTGAACCCAAAGGCTGAGATTTGGGAGAACCCAGCTTGGGTTCCAGTGCAGCCACAGCCCCTCTCTGATCTTAGCGGGGGTTCCTTACAGGGAGGCTAGAAGGGACATCTCCCCATGGCCTGGGCTCCAGAAAATCACACGGTCACTCTGGGATAGAGTTTCCCTGTCTATAAAAGGCAGATCATAAAAATTCCTTTCCCCCAGACCTTAGCTGCCTTCTCTCCCAGAACTACTCTGTATCAGGGCTGTCTCTTACAACGTATGTGCCCCGTAAGCCAAAGACCTGATCTTGCATTGGATGGTGAGATATAACAGCACGTCAGAAAATAACAGCATATCAGAAATAACAGTACGGTGATTGCCAAAGCACAAAGGAAAATTGCACTGCTTACTTATTATCTGTCCTGCAGGGAGCACTTGTTCTCCAGTATCGTTGTGAGTGAAAGCTGGAATGGCTACGCAAAGAAAGAGACATTGCACAGGTCATCACACACGCTCACAGAAATCCTGTTGGATATCAAGGCATTGACAGCCCCGAAGCTGAACAGACTGAATGAAAACGTGGAACATGGAACAAAGTGAAGACATCCCACTAAACAAAGATCATTACAGCCATTTTTAACCTGGGCTCTGGAAAGATGTCTTTCGCAGAAAGCGAGAGGAGCCTCCAGCCAAATGGGAAGCTCCCGCTGACTCCAGAGAGCTGGGCTGAGCTCAGCTCTGGTCCAGCTTCCACCCAAGCCAAACATGGACTGATGCCCACCTGCAAGAACTCCTCCTGGGACAGAACTGCCATGTGGCAAGGGGGTAAGACACCTGGAGAGCAGCCCCAACCGGAGCTGCTGGCCCTTCCTGCAGCCGCTGGGTCTGCAGAGTCCCAGAGCTGACCACTCCACAGTCCCACGCCCCCCACTTACGGTAGCAGTGGGGGAAGTTGAGGTATCCCTCGGCACAGGCATCACAGTGCTCCCCGGTGTAATTGGGTTTGCAGTAACAGCGGCCGGTGAGGTCCTCACAGGTGCCGTCAGTGAAGTCAGACTCACAGTTACAGCCTGCGGGGAGGGACAAGCCAGCAGCAGTTGTCACTGACAGAGACCCTCGCTAGCCACAAGCACCACAAAGGTATCACTATGATACAGGGACACCACGAGAGACCCCCACCATCTGCTTCAAATACTCTCCAACAATAAAAAGTGAGATTTTGCCTCCTCAGAGGGAGTCTAGTTTAGAGGAACTGCTGCCGCTGTGCTTGTCCCACTGTGGGGTCCCAAGAAAAGCAGCACAGCCCTGACTTGCTTCTCTGGGAGACCCCAATTGCCCTGGGGGTTGGTGGTGGCACGCTGCCACGAGGACACAGCGCAGAACAGCCCCTGTGTCGTAGCTCCCAGACTGAGCCAGACTCCTCAGCAAAAGGGATATAAATCCACCGCTGCCTAGAAATCTCTGCTTTAGGGCATGGAGACCAGTGGCCAGCTGAAAGAACACAGAGACGACAGCTAAGACTGGATTACCCTGTGGTAGCAGGGGAGACAACACATGTTTAGCTCATTCAGCCTTGGAACATGCCACCACTTCTGCTTTCATGGGTGCTACAGACACACATACTGTCTACATTTCCACAGGCAATACCAGCTGCAGCAGGAACCCCCGTGTGGCCGCATCTCTCATGGTGCTGGACTCCCTACACCAGAAAAATCTCTCAGCCCAATCCTCCAGACCATCCTCCCCAGTGTCACCAAGTCCAGGAGGGCATCTACAACCTTCAGAGGAGATCACACTCACGATAGCAAACGTATGGAGAGTCGATCAGGTGGTCAGGGGACCGGTAGTACCCTGGGATGCACCTCTCACAATTAATGCCCGTGGTGTGATGCTGAAAGACAACGGGTTAGAGGGGCATCAGTTCCTCTGCCCACAGGATTCATGTTCACCTGTCAGATTTACTGAAAGCTTCAGGATCTGGAGGAAGCAGCTCAGGAGTGTCAGCACACAGAAGACCTAAATCTGCTCCAAATTCCACGTTCACCAATTTGAAAACAAAGCATTTCCTGCAAACTGTATCCTCACATAAACGCAGTGCGAGTTTCAGGTTCGTATCTGACCTCAAGCCTATTTCACTTGCTTCAGATGGTAAAATGTCCCAAGCACTGAGTGCTAGGAAGATGGGAACAATCTGTTTCCTCCCACAAAGAAAGCACAGCTCAAAGTTTCATGTCACTGCATGAATTAACCAGCTCACAGTCAAACTGGGAGCGGAATCGCTGCTTTCCCACTTTTCATTGGGAACTTCGGAGACAGGAGATTGGCATTTTGGTGGAGAGAGGTCTAGAGAAATGGCAGCACCTGAGCACTGCAAACAAGGCAAGGACTTCCCAACGTGCCCAGCACCAGCCTGTTCCTCAGCAGACCTACCCCTAAAGCATCAGAAAGGTAATGATAGTACCCAGGGGACAGCTAGGAAGCCAAGTGCTGTTTTCATTACTGGTGCACACTCTTATCTATGGTAAAGAGACTAAATTTCCAGGGAGAGACCTAATTAAGATAACAGAGGGCATGTGAGGGGATTGGTGGAGCTGCCAGCAAAGCTGAACTCCAGTCCAACAGCAGAAACAAACACAAAAATCTGCAAAAGCCTTTTCCACGGGAGCTCGTCAGACCTACCTGACAGTCAATGCAAACACCTCCTCCTTCAAACTTGTCTTCGTGACTTTTGCTGGCTTTGTGGCGATCCACCTCTGGGTCGTAGTAGCAGTCGTAGGCATGGCCATTGCAATTGCAAGCTGAAAATACAAAGAGATGTAAGCTAAGCCACCAGTCCATGGAGGTCCTTCTGTCGCCAACTGGATCTCAAGATATACACCCTTCCTGACGGGTGTGACATTGGATGGGTTACTTTTCACTGAGGAAAGATGCTTGAACGCATCTGGGGGATTACATGATCACCCAAGCTCCTAAGAAATCTTCCAAGTTTAAAAGTGCAGAAGCAGCGACTCTCTCACAAAATCTAGTCTGCAACTGGACAAAAGCAGCAGGCACAAAATCAGAAATAAAATACGTGCAGGCATGTATAGGTGAGGAAGAGAAATTACCCAACTTTGGGGCCTCGAGTAGTCTGGTTTAGAGGGCAACATTCTCCCCTCTTTTATCTCATGTGGGATAGAGGTGAGCGGTAAAGCTCAGCAGCCGGTGAGGGTGCTCTTTACAAACCCACAGGATTAAGATCCAACTGTCCTTTGCCACCCTGCATTCATAAGAGATCACGAGATGTAACTACGCTCCGTGCTCTGCATTCCCGGTGCAGCACAAATTCTGTCGTCGGCATTTACCAAAGGTTTCTCTAGACAAATAAAGACGTCCCGTATGTAAACACATCCAAATGTAATTCATCTTGGAGACAGAATTGAGCAACAAGACTTGCCGGCAGGAACCCTTGGACACGGAGGAGGAACTGGAACGTTAGCAGAATCAAAGTCCCATACAGACCCAGAGGGCCTCCCTGCGGGAGCCTCGACTGAACACAATTAACCACTGTGCAAACTGTCCTCTCTGCAGCGGCAGTGATCTCCGCTTCACCCAGCGCCACACACCACAAACCCCTCCATTTCAGCCAACGGCTTCTCTGCACTGCAGGGTCAAGGGGCTGGTGAAAACGTGGTCAATCCGTGCTTTACAAAACAGCTGGAAAAGGAAGGAAAAACCCAACTCCAACTTACGCTGGCATTCGTTTGCGCTGTCGGCAGTGGCAGGCTTCCACGGGAACTGGTTGAAGCCGGGGCAGCAGCGGTCGCAGGACCCGCCGCAGGTGTTGTGCTGGCAGTCACACTGCAGCCTGCAAGGGAGAGGAACGAGGTTCAGCCAAGCCGGTGGCGATGACGGGGATGTGTGGGATGGGAAGCCGACGTATAACCCTGCTGTGCAGAACTATCGCTAGTCAGATACACCAGGTGATATTTGTTAATACAAATATTCTGAAAAAGAGGCATTTGAGGCATTTTTTTTAACTTTTGAATTGATTTTTTTGCCCTGAGTCAAACGTCAAACTTTGCTCTTCCAGTATCATTCTCGCCCTTCCTTCTCCCCCATTATCACTCCCTCTTTTCTTCACAGGGAGACAAGAATTAGAGAAAAATCAGCGTGCCGCTGCCTAGCCAGCTCTACAGGCAATAAAGCGTGAAACGGTTGGAGGTGGCAGTGGTAGAAACCTGAGCTGAAGCAAATCACTTGAGGGGGAATAGCGTGGTGCAGGGACACAAAGATGTCCCCACCACCGTGCAGCAGCACCGTGAAGAGAATAAATGACAGCCCAGAGCCAGAAAGGGATGAGGCCACAGGGGTCCCATCTGGTCCTCCAGGTATACCTGTGCTTGCAGAGAGGAAGGCCAAGAAATTTGAATTCAGACTTTGAGCAGATGCTGGCCCCATGCTCCCTGTGAAATGCACCTCCTGCTTTTCTGAGCCGGCACAGGCAGGGCTGTGCTGGGTAAACAGGCGGCTCCGGAGGCGCCAGGCAAGAAATCTCGACAGTGGACTGACGGATCTCGTCCCTGCTCGACCGCAACGGTGATTCATTAACATCAGTGACATCATCTCCAAAACTTCCACTTAGCAGAAGGCGATTCCCATCCAACACAAACGCTTTCTGTTGTATTAGACTTATGGATAATACAGCATGTTCCAGCTTTTATCTGTGCAATTACTCATTTCCCCTCAGGGCTGGTCTGCCACTCCCATCTCTCCCTCCCCCAATGCTTTTCCATTCAAAAGCAGTGTTTAAAAATAAATGTAATTTTTTAAAACATTAGAAACAAATGGGACAGTCATTCTGGGTGAATTGCAGGAGTGCAGACACACTCTTCCATGATTGCAGTGATCTAAGTGTCATGGTTTCCACCTACATGTATTTTAAGATGTGGGACCTGCGAGTGTACGTATAGTGAACAGCCAGACAGAGGCAGCAGCATGGGACAAGTGAACTCATTTTAATGAAGTGGTCTGAAAGTTTGGGGGAATGCGGGCAGGATCCAGACTCAGCATGTTTGCTTCAGCCAGAGGGGTTGAGAGGCAGGAGGTCCCAGCCCTGCTCCTGGTCCTCCCCTTGCAGATGCCATGAATGCTTGGCCGCAGTCGGGGCTTTGAGCACTTGCAATGCCCCATCCCTACCCACATTCACGGGCTGGGCTGTGGCCGGCAGAGTCCAGGAGTGAAACTGAGCCCCTGAGAGGTCGGCTGGAGCCTAAGAGGCAGAAACGAGCCCTGAAACATTCACCAGGAACTTTGTTCTCCCCGTGCTTTGCAGACCCAACAGGAAGACTCAATGAGAGGCAAACCTTGGCCATGCCTCTGCAATGAAACCACTCGTAGACCTCTGACCTGGCTGACTACCACTCAGGAAACACAATTTTCAAGGAAACACGATTTTATGGTTTTCTTCCATGGCAGCAGCTGGGGATCAAGATTAACACCCATATACATATGTGTGGAGACAGACGGTCACCGAGTCAGGGAATTTATAAACCTGCCGAGCAGCGCTAGTCTCCCTGGCTGGAGGATGTGGCTCCAGCCACGCACCCCAGCTCTTTAATGTTTGAGATGTTTGAAAAGCACCAGTTCCATTCCCAGAATGCAAAAAGATGGCATTCAGTGAGTAAAGATGTACATTTCAGATTGAGAAGGAGCTATTTATTTAGTCTCTGCTGTCTAGAGTTAGCAATAACCTCTGAGAGAGCTCATCTATCAGGGCAGCTTTACCGCACCTTGTGTTGAGTCCGTGCTGCTAATGAACTATGGACAAATGTGCATAAGCTACAATATTTAGATGTTTCATTGATTGAATATATACAAGGAAGAAGAGGGAGCGGCTGTGTTCACATAGCACATATTTCCTGGTCATCCTGCCGTAAAAAATAAAACCACAGTCTTCCCACTGGAATTGATGCTCAATAACAGGGACTATAAACAGTTTCCAGGGAGCAGTTGTGTCAGAGCTGAGAGCAGCACACAAGCACTACAACAGCTGGATTTGGCCGGGACACCCGAGTAGCACAATCAAGAAAAAAAAACCCCTTCCCCCTAATTGGTTCTGATTGTACCGAGGGAAAAAAATAATCTGCAAAAGGGACTCACAGTTGGCACAAATCTACCAGCATGCATGGTGCTTTCCCTTCCAACATGGGGAAGAGCAAGTCAGCCTTCAGGATCCAGCAGTGGGAAAGCATTCTTGGTGTCCTGCAGATCTGCTTCTGACCAGCCAGGCTGCTGCTGTCATGCTGAGTATCCTTAGCATCAGGCACAGAAGCTGCAGCTAGACTCTCCAGTTGTTCCCTCTCTTGTGGCATCCATGATGGAGCAGTGAACCCAAACAGTTGCTCTTATCGGACAGATGCAGAGCACTTGCAGGGTTCTCCTGAGCTCACATCAACAGCAGCCGCATTGCTGTCTGGGCTCTCCATCTCCAACATGCCAGGTCCCTGCTGATGCTTATCGCACTGCTCAATGGTTTGCCAAGGGTTTGTGCCTGGTCCTGCTGGTGTTAAGCAGGAGAACTTTCCTTCCCTCTGCTTAATTCAGCCCAGTCTTTCTTTGGACAAGGAGAGACAGTTGTGAAAAGTGCAAAGGACCCTTGAGGAGGTTGCATCTGCCCACACATTGTAGGCCCTTGCACGTACACACTCACATGGGGACCGGACACGCTGCCAACTTAACACAGCTGGATGTGCAGTCTCCGTAACTTGGCACTTCAGAGAAACTTTCCAAAGCTGGATAAACATTATCATTTATAGCCAGGAAGTCAGCTCACGAACATGCTCCATCATGTCCTAAAGTCTTTGCCAAGATTTCTAGCTCACCTCACCTCTATCAAAGTGCTCATCCTGCCTTTCTGGGAAACAGGCAAAAGAAACGCAGGCATGTGCAGAAGAGGGATGTTAAACTGAGAAGCAGAGACCTCCCAGACAGGCTGAGACATAACTGGGATTTTTAATAAGGTCGGGCCAATTCACATTCCTTGTCTCCTCCTATTTGCATTTCCTTGCCCTGTTGCTGTCACACATGGGCATCTGAAAAGGCAGGACATGTGCAGAGGGACACACCGCACCTCCTACTCAAGAAAGGCCACACAGATTTCTGAAGAAATGACATGTTTTGGCAGCTGAGGCCCACGACACGAAGGGACAGTGTGTCTGAGCGCCAGCTGCCTCTGTGATGCCTCGTCATGCAGCGTTATGGCAGGGCTCTGTGCTACACCAGGACAGGAGGGGTGGGATGACTGCCCAGCAGTGCCCGCTTCTCGACACAGCTGCTGCTGGAGCCTTGGAGAATATGTCAGCGTTTCACCAATTACTCATTTTCTCAACTGAAAGTATCATATTTCTGCTGATTTCTCTGTGCTCCAGGGCTGGCTAAGAGGGTACAACAATGCCATGAGATGTTCTTCTATTCACCCAGCACCCTTGTCCTGATGCATCCCAAAGGGCTTTACAGCCCCGACTGTACAAAGCACCCAAGTAGGAAATGCTTTCTCCTCCAGGCAGGAGCAATCTGCTCTGGGTGAAATGCAACAGCTGCTTACGAACATGTGCTGCAACATTAGAGCACAGTTTGGGGCCAAAAGCGAAGCTGCCAAATGCATCCAAATGAGAGTGGAGGAGGGGAGTTCTGGAAGGCAGAGACAGTCATCAGCAGAAGTGGCACTGAACAAGGATTCCCAACACACCTCTTGTCCCTCAAATTTTCCCTCTCTTCCTGGAGAGCCCTGAGCCATCGATACACCCAAGAAATGCCATGGCGTTTCTCTGTTAAAGAATCACTTTGCACCATGGAGCCCTTCTGCCCCAGTACACAGGTGTAGCGTGCATCCAGCAACACCAAAGTCTAAAACAAACCCAAGGAACTGTACGCTGAAATATTTATGAACTTCCCTTTGTCAGAGAGTTTGGCACGCTAAGGCAGACTTGCTTACCAATACATCTTTGTTTTAATACTTAGCAGCTTTAACCTTGGCTGGGACTCACTGGAATTTTATTTTAGAAGATCCAAAAGCTCTACATGATCCTGATGAGAAAGAAATATAAGCTTCCCTCGTCCAGCTGAATCTACCCATCCCTTTCATAAAGGCAACATTCAGGCTGCAAACAGATGGCTAAAAAGCAACACATTCATGGTTTGAAGGAGCTCTTTGGCATTTCAAGCTGCCAAGGCGGATGGGAAGAATCCCATGAGCCATAATGTAACTGCTTTGCATGCTCCTGATTTTTGGCAAAGAGTAACTGTCTAGCTACATCCACAACCGATTTATGGTTCTTACGAGTAGAAATGGGCAGTAGAATCTCTGGTTTCTTGGGAGACCATTTATTTATGAGAGCATTGCCCCAACTCTTAAGAAGCCACATGGGAAGCAAGAGACTTCTCTGAACAACTTCAGAAACCTCCATGTTCAACAAGATATCAGCTTTGCACATCCACCCTCTCCCATTCCAGCACTCTGCTCCCATGGGGATAGCAAAGTTGTGGGCAGGGAAACCAGACCAGGGAGCTGATCTGCCTGAAAAACAGCCTGACTGGACCAGTTTCCGACTCGTTCTCAGGACAGAGACACAAACAACAGTGCTGGGACAATTACGAGCTCAAGACAGGACACAACTCACACTGGTATCTTTCATTCTTAGCACAACAATTCAAATGCTTTTACACAGAACTGGGACTGTGAAAAACGTACCTGTAAGGGTCATTTGGGTCTTTGGCATCACAGACGTCTGCGTGGCCATGGCAGACACAGCGCCCTCCAATGCTGATATCTTTGATACTGTAATAATACTGGAGAGCACAGTTAAAGTTAGTCATTTATATCTTTATGAATAAGCTTCACAACTGCCTTGCTCAGGATTCAGCAGGACTTTATCCAGTAAAACGATGCATTGGGATATTTCCCTTACAGAGACAAGCTGGGCCTTGCAGGTTGCAATATCTGCCTATGGTAAGACCCATCACCACTAACTGAGCCCATCAGCTACAAGTCGGGTCTCCCAGCACAGCCAGAAAGCCACCTGCAACACCAAGAGGTGTTTCCCAGTTTTACGTTGTTGGTGCTAAGCACTGTTCTTCCCAAGCAGCCTCCAGCTCCAGCCACGGCAGCAGTGGCATCTGTCACAGACACTTTCAGCTCGGGGAGCACGAGTAGAGAGAAAATCCCCACGGGTAACACCCAGGGATGTCTTCCCCCCAGAGGTGGCACACACAGCCCTCAAACACTTCCACCTCATTAGTAAGAGGTATCAAGGTCTGCCTTACCCTTCTTGTCACCGTAGGGTCCCTTAAAGCTTTGCCCATCAGGTGCCCCAGCAGCGTGTTTGTCTGCAGGAAGCGCAGCCTGATGTTGGTGGCTTTTGTGAAATTCCGCAGGAGAGGAGAGTAGGAGAAGTTCATGGCTCCCGGGCGTCCATTTACCAGAGAGACAACAATCTGTGAATGCAAGGAGGGAAGACAAATCTGTGTAATCCTGAGAGGTGGGAGGAAATCAATCTCTCCCTCAGCCAAACCCAACCTTTACCTCTCTGCAAGGTGACTGAATCGGTTCCCTGCCAGTCTCATTTAATTTGAGTAGTTTAAGTGGCATCCAAAAGTCAAGAGGGAACCAATTAATAGGAGTACTTACCATCACTGAGAAACCCTGGAAACTCTAGGTGATAAAAATGTGCAACCGCTCACCTCTCCATTTTCTAAAGGCACGATCCGGGAATATTCAGTAGTGCAGATGGCATGGTCATCCTTGGTGATACGATCCACAGTTTGCAGTCCAAACTTCTCAATGCAGTCCCTCTTGGAAGCTGTTCATCAACCAGAGATGAGAACAGTAAGAGAAAAGGAACAATTCAGAGCCCTGTGTTGTTTTTCCCACACTGACCAACAAGAGAGAAGGGTGTATGCTCTTTGTTAAGCATTTACTACATAGATCGCTTGTATCATTGACTGTCACTGCTAACATACATGTACCCCACTGAGGGAGGGAGTCACTATGAGAGTGATACGGTCAGAAAATCCCCCGAATCACCTCATTGCAGGAAAGCGAGAATGGCCACTGTACCTACTGCGACCACCCACAGAGAAACCTACCCCTTTATTTTGGCATTAAGCGCAGTTTAACCACCTTGAGATCTAACCCTGGTCTGAATTTGTTGGCTTTGCTGGCACTGGATTTGCTACACTGCTTCCACTGAACTGAGGGAGGGCTGTTTGCTGCTAGAGCTCTGCCCCTGACGTAGGAGCTTGTACCATCACCTTCACAAGGCTCCTTACCTTCTTGGGTAAGTCCTGAGGAGTGAGCTAGCACAGAACCACACCACAGGAGCAAGCACAAGCTTCAGCCACCGCTGTGACATCTCCCCCCAGGCAGGGTGGGCAGGCAGGTGTGGGAAGAGCATCTGCAGTGTTCGGGAGAGACAGAGCAACTGCCTGCAGGATGTCTCCTTCTCCCACCTTACTCTGAACTCTGCAATCACTCTTAAACCATCACTACAAAACAGAAATGCCAAAGCCACCCGGAACCACCCCTTGGGGACAGCAATCGAGGGCTCCTGCCACTAAGTGGCAATGCAAGGCTGGCTAAAGCCTGGGGACAGGCACCACCAGGCAGTCACACTGCGGGCCCTGAGACCTGCTCTGGGGACACTGCGTGCCAAGACTGTCCTTGCAGCTGTAGGAATGTCCTGGCTGCCCTGCACAGCCACTTCTGCAAGTCCAGCACCCTCATCCCCAGGATGTCTGACATCCCTGTGCTGGCAGAGACAACCAAACCACAGTGAACATGCTGGGGCAGTCCAGGACCTGACTATTCAGGGTGGTGAGCAAACCACATCTACCCATGCAATAACCTATGCAGTGCTGCTCTCAGGGCACTTCTCTGGGGCTGTTCCACCAGGGAAGAGCCTGAGACCAAGGCGCTGCTTCTTCTCACTCCAGTTTCACCTGCGCTAGGAGTTCTCAGCAGTGTGTGCCGAAGCACATGTTGCTGCAGCTCTCCTGAGGGTGTTTCCACAGGGAGAAGGAAGAAAAGGCAGCCAACACAGCCCGCTGCTCCTGCCAGAGCTGCTCAGCTCATACTGGGAGTTGACGGGGAAACATTAACCTAATTCATGGGAATAATCCTCCAAGATCTGTTGCAATGTCCTCCAGCAGGCATGGCCCTCTCCAGGTCCTGCACTGGTAGGCTAAAGAAAGCAGGAGGAACAGCAAGCGGGGAGCACCGAGAGCTTCTGCCTCCCCTGCCCTCACCTCTGGCTTGCACCCGCCCACACCTCATCTCCAGCAACGTGGCCTCGCTCCATGAAACACTGTTTTGGCAACAGCAGGAGCTCGGTTGCATCCATGGGAAGATGGTGTGGAAACACTTAACATCAGGTCTCTGGCCACCAAGCTTTGCTTCACCAGGTGCTTTTTTAAAGGCAATTTATTCAGAAGCACCAAGTGAGGAACCTGTCACCTCTGGCTCAAGATGACTGACTCCCAGAGCACTGCCATGGCTGAGCTTGGAAACAAGATGCTCAGCAAGAGCAAGAGCAGCTACTCGGGAAGACCAAAGAACTCTTCCAGTTGTTGCAAATCTACACATGTGAGCCAGAAGCCAGGCACTCTGAGCTAAAACAGAGTAGTAACCCATCAGCCTTAAACCACAGCAACGCTTTAAGGAAACAGCAGACTGTGGAAGCTTACCCTCAGCAGGTAAAAGACAGAGCCTCGCTCTGCACTATCCCTGCCTTCCCCTCCACGGTGGCACTGCCCAGCAAAGCGAGACGAAACGAGCTAATCCAGCACAACGCGATGAGCTGGGGCAGACAAGGCTCCGTGGGCCTGGATGCACAGCTGGGACTGGGCATTTTTCGTGTCCTGTCCCCATTTGAAACGCTGTGTGGGGAACCCTTCATGCAGATAAACACCACCATAAATCTCTCCCTAGCACTCCTGCTTCTCCTTTGGTGGCCGAGGAAAGCACGGTGCCTCCCCGCCGCGATGCACGGAGGATTCGCATTGCCACGGTCCCTCCAGCCTGGCTACGCGAGAGAGCAAGCCCATCAGCTGCACTGACAGATGCTTTCCACGACAGTCATTTTTCCCTCCTCCTGAAGAGCTAAGCCCAAAACCACTCCAGCAGCCTCCTCACTGCTGGGGAACACGAGGCACCGAACACCCCCCATGACGAGCGGGGCTCGAGGGGCGGCGCTGAGCTGGCGAGGTCAGTGTCACCCATAGCAAGGCTTGCTCTGGAGAACACTTCCATTTCTGTTGGCTGCTTTTAACCCCGTTACTGAACTGACCCGTGTTTTTATTAGACCACCTACAGAATTCCCCATGCCAAAAATAAACCTCCGCAAAGGACTTCTTGTGCTCGCAAATCTGGCAGGTTTTGGACCAGCCACCTCTTTATTTCCATGGGAATTTTCCACTGGACTGTGTCACTGTATGTCACTTCTCAAGGGGGGTGGTAAGAGGGCCTGATGCTGTGGGAGGGAAGAGGACTCCAGACGTTGCAGCATCGACACTACAAGCAGGAACGAGCAAGCGGGACAAGAGCTCCCCGCTCAGCCCCAGCCCATGCAATAACGTGACCACAGCGGGCCCCAAGAGAGGCTTCAGAGCTGGAAGAGAAATTCACAGAGAAAATAGAAAAAAAAAAAAAGCAGGCAATTTGACAGCAGTAATTTCCCCTCTTCTCTGTGCTCGTAGGGAAACACCCTCACTGGAGAGGAGCTACACGCTAAGGCAACACAGCAAGTAAAATGTCTGCAGCTCTTTCCTGCATGAGAAAAAGCCAGAAAATCTCAAGCACAGGCTGACAGGTAAGGTAGAAATATGAGCCTTTAGGGGCAGCCCAAGGTGAGGCCTCCGTGTGCTCCGAGGTCCTTGCCAGGTTTTAAGCTCTGGCTGTAGATCTTAACTCACATCTTCTCCCAATGACTGCTGCTGCTTCTGGGAGGGGCTGGTGGTTAACAAGTTCCTCAGCACCCAGCTACCCCACAGACCCTTTGGGAGATGAGTTTTGTAGAACCAGCTGTTTCTAAAGGGATCAGGTTTTAATCAGAGAACTGGGAAGCCAAATGCACAGACTGGATCTCTGCAGCCGCCATCCTGATCTCTGATCCCACCTTGCACAGCAGCAGGACAGCGGTTCCCTGCCCTCACAGGCTGTATCTGATCTCTGTACTGATAAGTGCAAGGGGATTGTTTCTGCCTCCAGATTTTTCTGTTACAGCAGCCACTTGGAAGCGAGCCTCTGGTTTGGTTCTGGAGGAGCTCAAATACGCCAGTCTGGATACAGACCAGGGCAGACAGAGAGGGCAGGGAGGAAACGGTAAGAAATCTCATGTTCCAGACCTAGATCAGCAACACCCAACTATTGACACCGGTGCCAGCTTTGGCGTTCACACAGATTTGGGTGGGCACCAATGACAATACTTTAAAAAATACATTTAGCTCCAGAGAGCAAAAAAGATCTTCTGCCCTGAGGGGTGCTGCAACTTCACCCACCTGCTCTGATCTAAACTTCAACTCTTGCAGCCTTACTGGGCAGAAGAAACAGAGGACATGTACCACAGGGAAGCAGCGACACAGAAACAAACTCCAAAACCAGCCTGGTATTTGCACAAAGAGCAAGTGGCCTTCGCTGTGGCCTCGCTACCTGGCACTAAGCTGCAGCTCTCTTGTAACTCTGGCATACTTACAGGCAAAATACTGCCAGGGCTCGTAGGTAAGGCCGAAGTCAGTCGATCGCTCCAGCACCCAGAGGTCAGGACGAGGGGAATTGGCAAATTTGATCAGGACGTATGCTACGTGGAAGAGCTGAAAGAAAAGAACACAGAGTTAGCTGGCTGCTCGAGGCATCATGAAAATCAAGGAGAGCTTAGTGGGATCCAAGCCAAATAAACAAACTGGCACTTCACAGATCCTGCAGCTCACAAGCAGCCTGTGGAGCAAAATCCTCCATATCTAAAAGGATCGTGATACGACATGGATGCTGGAGACAGATTAGGGAGCTCAGCTCCCACCAGTCTGAATGCAAACAAACCACAGGCTTTGTGGCTACGGGCCATACTCGGGGGGTCGTGCTGGGCTACACCATAGAATCAGCCTTGACCCAAGCAGGCAGCACTATAAACCAGCTATGAAGCTGTTCTGGGGGACCTGGCTTGGGGGCTGTTCTTGGTGACACCCTGAACTGCCAGCCTGGGAACATCCGACTGCACCTTGCACACAGTATCACAAAATCCTTCTTTTTTAATTTTAAGGATCTCCACGTGGCAGCCCTGTTCCACCCGTGCAGTCTGCGTTTACAAGTTGGTTGCAGAAAGGTCCCAGCACAGCTCCTCTCCCCCAGGTGCCACAGGGAGGGAAGAGCAGGAGACCCACTTGGCTTCAGCCCAGCACTGGGCTGCTCCCATTTGTCTGGACACTGACGTGCGCACACACAGCCCTGCCAAGAATAAAGTAAATATACTCTTCAAAGAGCTAAAATGTCAGTGCTGGAGAAACAAAAGCTCCAGCAGAATTTCCCTTCTCCGGCTGGCACGGGCTCGCTCCAAGAATCCCCACTCCATCATCCTGTCACAAAGTGATATTTAAAGGCAAATAAAGTTCTCTTATCAGAAAAAAATTCCTAATGTCAAAAACAACCCAAAAGGGAGTTTAGTGCTTGAAAAGGAGAGATTTATAGCTCAGGAGTTCCTCCTCAAACCAAGTTGGTGCTGTAGGAGCATACATCCCCCAAAGACTATCAGGTCTCCAGAGGGACACTTCAGCAAGGGGAGGCAAAGGACGGCTCCGTGCCCATCTCAGCCCGCCCGCCCCAGCCATAACCAGCTGCAGGAGGGCCAGAACAGCAGCATGTACCTTGGCCCTGCCCCGGCCACACACATCGCTGAGCCAGAGGATGAGTATTAACAATAACATGCTTCCAAAATAGCCCTGACAATCCATAGAAGGCTTTTTAAAGGGTTTTTAAAGGGAAGAAGAGACAAGAAAGAGGCATTTAACTCTACTACATCATTCATAAAGCACATCTTGTTATGGTCGTTCAGACGAGGGGGTCTGAGCGCTGTTGTGTGGGTGCAGAGCAACAGGATGAGTGCAGGCCTGGGGATTGGCACCAGCTCAGCCTCCTCCTCAGCAGGACACAGACAAAAATTCCCTCAGGCCCCTGCTGGACCAGCCTCTCCTCCATTTATCAGGGCTGGTGGCACCTGAACTTACACCTGGGTGTAGGCTAAGGGGGCTTGAGAGAGATGCTCGGGGAGGAGTCAACAAGATCCAGCTGGGAAATCTGTGTGATGCTGAAGCACAGTAGGTCAGGGGCCATTCTTCAGCTGTGAATGGGCAGGAGGGTGGGACTTGCCACCACTCTCAGGGTTTGCACTGGTAAGGATTGGTGCCATCCAGAACGAAGAAATCCAAGTGGTTCCCTGCTGCCAAAAGGCTTGTGAGCCCAATCAAGGAGGAAACAGACCTCCTTTGCAAGTTGCTAAAACCTGAGGAAAATCAAACTTAAGTCCTGCCTTAACTCTCCTCTGCAATCTACATGTTGTCAAGGCATACAAGACCAAGCTTTCCCGGAGGAACAGCATTTTCTGCCCGCTCACCATCTCAGCAGAGCTGGTATTTGTTAGTGAAGCCCAAGAGGCTTCAGCTCAAGCAGCTGCTCTCTCTGCAGGCCCAGTTCTCACAGCTTAACATCTGCCTCTTGGCATGGGAACAGGGCTGAGTACCAGCCACTGAAGTTACACCTTCCCTCCACTGCAAATCCTCCTCCAGCTTTATTCTACAGGGAATAAGCTCTCTTGCTGGAATCTGGCATAGGCTTTAGCTGGACAAAATTCACTGCACCTCCAACATACCTGCATGTGTTCTGGTCTCAGGCACTGGGACAGCCTCTGCTCTGAACGAATAGCAACCACAAACATAAAAATAGAAACACAACGCATATCCCTACCTTCTGCATTTAACTTTTTGCAAAGCCAGCCATGCATTTATAGTCAGTAAATCCCACGGAGTTTTTTGGAGGGGGACCTCCTTTCTGTCCAGTTTCATGCTGGAAAGAAATGATCCTGATTAAATGTCCTCAAGTTCAAACTCCTTGCACAGTTCTAGCTCTGAGAAGTCCCGTGCCTCTGGACAGCACGGGTTACAATCCAGTCTACTTGGTGAGGACTGTTTCTTTGCACAAACTGAAACTTGACGCAAAACCAAGCCTAGGGCTCAGTGCTTTACAAAGTGAAAATGACAGCCAAGAAAAGAAAATAGTGATGGTGGTTGCATGCCCTAGCGTAAGCGCTCCTGGGCCAGGGGAGCGGCAGGGTTGGGTAGCGTGCAGGCTTATGACCTGTACGAGCCCTCTCTAGCTGGAAGAAGATGATGGAGCTGGTTTCAGTACATTTTAAGTCACGGGAGATGTGGGTTTGTGCATGTACACACGTTGGGCACTGGGGAGAACTGCATCCCAGCTTCGGGGAGCTCTCTGAAAGGCCAGTCCCACCCCCACTGGCCGGGCTAAATATCCAAGACCAGGGCTAGCATGCTAACTTTTTATCTTTTATTGCTGCTTTTCACAGGGAAGAACCACCTGTGAAAGAACAAGAACCTCTGGTTTCTTGCTGGATATTGCTGGATCAGCACAGTATCTCAGCTGAAGCCCAGTTTGGATATTCCTACCCCACTTCCACTCTCAAAGGCAAACACAATTCCTCTGTTCCATACCTAACCCATCGTTAGCACTGCTGCACGCTGTTAAGACTTTTGCTTAATTTTATTCCAGTCATGACCGCAATTTTAGGACACAAAGAAGCCAGACAATATTGCCCACTCACTCCCCTCCAGCACATAAGGGTTAGGGTCACTCCTACATGGAGCACAGAAAATATTCAGGAGTCTGTGACCACTATGAACCCAACCCTGTAACAGGACCTGAATCCTGGTATTCAGGATTTTTGTCAAATCTGGCAAGTCCCCTGCCCCTCCATCCAACATCCTTATCTTGCAGAATATCAAAGCCTGCCAGAAAAAATAAAGGCAGATTGCCTGCTTTAAGTGCATATGCTGAGAAAACTGAGAGAGATAGAAAGATGGAGCAGTGGCTCTAAAAATAGAGCTGGCAGAAAAGCCAGACTTTTCATTCCATGTTTAGTTCCAGTACAGTTCTGCCCAACCAATATTGCAAGAGAAATGGTTGGGGTTTTTTCCAAAGCCTTTATTTAGCTCCTATTATCAGTCAGATGAATAAAAACTTCTATGGTCCCAGTCTCTTAGGCAATTTTTTTTTCCCTTTGCTATGGAGGAAGGAGGTGAAGCACCAGATCTGATACACTTGTCTCCAGGCAAGCAGAGCCCCTTGCTCTTACCACCTTTGAAAACATGCCAGGCACAACTCAACCTTCCACCCTGGCCTGGGATTTCATGAAACGAACTTTCAGCCAGGAAATTCTGACACGAGTATTTAAATTAGCAACCAACTTTCTTTGAAAACAGTAACATCCCTACATCTAGCCGATGTTGCTGTTAGTGGTTTTGAAGCACGTTTCCTTAGTAACAAGCACTTGCGGCTGCCCTAGTGCCTGGAAGGATGGAGAAAGTCCTGGAGCCGGGAGAGAAAGATGGAGATGAGGGCATTTGCATGTCTGGATGGCAGGCAGCTTTATCCAGCACCAAAATCCATGAAAATATAATTCTGATTACTGCCCAGTGTGACAGTGCAAAGATTTGAAGAGTAAAACAAGGATCCAGCGAGACAAGAGAAACTTAGCTGCTTTTGGAGCAGCACATTCTCTGACCATCCATCCATCCATCCATCCATCCATCCATCCTCCCGCATAAGCAAAACACGATAGCAAACTTGCACATTTCTCCTCCATTTCCTCTCTTGAAACACTGATTTCCGTTTTCCAGGTTTGGGAGGCACATGTGGAAACAAGACAGCAAGCTGGACCCAGCCACATCCCCTGTTTCTTTGGTGAGGGATTTTTGGTGAAGTTCTCACCTCCCAGGTGCTATAAAGCCATAGCGTAACATTTAATAAGCAAAATCAATCTTCATGTTGTTGTAATACTGGCAACTACACTTCGACAAACAGCAAGAGAGGCCCTTTTTTGGTCCTCTGACGGAAAGGTATGAGCAGGCTGTGTTGATCTAGCTATGTGCAGCTTCACTCCTAGCCCCGGAGTGCACAGGAGTAGTTTATACAGTAAACCACTCTCTAATTTTCTGTAAGACAGATTTATTACCTTTGGCGTTGACTTACTAAAATAGATCACGTAAAAACAAAGCAGTTCATCTCTTCCTCACACTGCTAAATACCCCCGTGGAGCGTGTGTGTGGATAGCATTACCAGCGCTGCCGTACTCCTGCTTGGGATTTCCTGGAAGGATCGGATGGACCAGGCGAGCAGGTGCGGCACAACGGCGCAGCACACGGGCAATAAATCCCACTCTTCAGGGGCATACGAGGCCTCCTGGATACGCACAGCATGGCTGGGAGCAGCGGCCAGCCCAAAGGGCTTCAGCACACGCGCAGCGGGCAGCGACAGCGTTTCGGGGTGTGCTGCACCCCAGGCAGCTCCAGACATCCACAGAACCCAGACTGAAAGCAGGGAAGGCAGTAAAACCCCAGATAAACCATTTCAGAACCACTGCGGAAAGTGGATTTTTTAATTTTGTTTTGGTCTTTTATTTTTTTTTTTTAATTTAATTTTTCCCCAGAGCGTTCAAAAGCGACCAACACTTTTACTTCCTCCCATCCTTTCCCCAGGCACTGCCTTGCTTCAACCCTGCAGCCACAAGCCCACCTGGAAGATGTGG